CATATCATTTGGAGAAGGACCTAGACCCTCCCCGGTGTGTCCAGGCTGAGAGATCATCCCTCCATGTGGAGTGGGCTGTGGGAAAAGATCTTATGGTGTGGGAATGGAAGGGCAGGGTGCCCTAATATCAATGCCATAGTAGCAGGAGGCAAGTTGTCTGAAGGGCTCTTAGACCCCAGGTGACAATGCCCCACCCATGCAGGTGACAGGAAAAGTAAAGGACTTTGTGAAAAGTGGACTAATTTAAAAATCTCACATTCCTGTTGTTACGAATCCTGGAAAAGGTAGAACCCCAACCCTCAACACCATTTGTACACTGTGCATACTGGGGTATGGAGCTCTGTCCTGCAAGCTGCCCCGGGGTATGCATATACACACATGTGCATGTGCAAATGAGTTCCTAACCACATCTCAGGAGGACACCTAGACAACAGCCCTTGACTTAACCTGAATGCTGGCCTCACGGGTGCAGGTCAGTTCTCTCTCGCTACCTCATGCCTCCGTAAGCTCCGGCGGTGCCCAGTGTCAGTTCTCCAGTGGTGCAGACAATCACAGGGCACGGTTCCAGCCCTTAGAACCCAGTTTTCCCCGATGGAGGAAATGCCCATTGTGTGTTATTAGGTCAACAACCTGGCAACGCTGATGACCACTACAGAGAGACGGCCTTGACACTCGGGAATCATCTCCAGTGCCCCTTCAGGCTTCAGGCCAGCGCCTGCTTCCTTCTTCCTGTGCCCAGCCTAAGGCCAGGCTCAAGAGCTGGGTAGCAGAAATGCATTCTGTCTTCAGGGAGTCAGCTGAGGCAGCCACACAGATGAAAACCTGGCACCAACTCTGAATCCAGCAGCAGAGTCTTGGACATCAGCCATGGGGACAAGAGGTAGTGTCCTCTCCAGGCTCTGTGGTGGTTGAGCTTACCCAGAATTCCATCCTGCAGCAGTCTGCCTACATGAAGGGCCTCGGACCAGCTCAGCAAGGCTTCCCAAGGCTAAGTATGCCATCTGCAGAGCCGAGGGTCTGGAATTCCCCAGCTCAGCCCTCACCCCCAAAGGCCGTGGGAAAACCAGCCCCATCATAACACTCATCCCAGACTCTAGACAAGAGTCCAGGCTGGCTAGGGCCTTTGGGGCTTGCACACAGATGAATTTTCCGGAAGCGCCTCATGTTCCTGGACTAATGCTAATGGCCCTGTGCCCCAGTCTGACCCCAGTCTTGGAAAATCCCAAGTTAGCCGGAGCCAAAACAAAGTAGATGCCCAGAGGTTCAGGGTCTTAAGACTAAAATACGTCCCCACACTGAAACTGAACCATACGCCACCCACCTCCTGCCTGTCAAAGCCACGCTTTCTCAGGAACTACCCAGCAGGAGAGAGTGACCCTCACCCCTCCTAAGAGGAGTGTGTAAGAGGGAGAGATCAAGGTACCCTGGAGGCCAAGGTTGAGAAGAGAGCAGCACTTCTAAGCTGGCGTGTTCTGTAAAGCTGGTCTGAAGGTTTCACTGGACAAGATGTCGCTTAGCTGGGACAGGGTCAGCAAATGGTCAGTCCTGACACTGACTCCTCAGCTCTCTCTACTCCATGCTGCCTGGTGACACGAGCACTGGAGAGCATGAAGGCTGTGCTCCATGGACTAGTCCCATGAAGGCTGCTGTGAAAATGTACTGAGAGAACTCTTTTGGAGGCTAGTCATTCCTGTCTGGAGGGCAAGTCCACAAGGACCACTCTGCTAACCATGAAGACTCCCGGGCCCCGTGAAGCCGACAGCATCACAGAATGACCACAGAATGATCAGAGGCCACCTTGCTTCTCTGAGTCTTGGAGGGCAAGTGAGAAACACCTGTCGGGACCACAGCCCACCCTCCACTGGTATCTGTGCGTCCTCGGTTCCTCTACCAGCTCTAAGAGCAGTGGCTGGCACTCAGAAATGCCAAGGTGAGCAGGACCCAGCATCGAAGCAAACCCCAAGAGTTGACTTGGAACCTAGATGCACTGCATGGCTTTGGCCAGCAGGAGGAGAGTCCTAATATGAACCATTTCAGATGTGAAAGTGAATTATTTTCTTAACAAGGAACCAAAGCGAAGCCTGACTGACGGTGTTAACGCTGAGAGTTTAACTGCTGCGGGGTCATTCCTGGTAGCCTTGTCACTATGAGGCAAATGCCAAAGCAGAACCGGCCTCACAAAGCGCACAGTGGCCCAGAGACAGACCCCTGGTCCCTCCGCGCTTGCTCCGCCATATAATCGCCTTTAGACTGGCACTTACTCTACTCTGTTTCCACTTTTTTGTTATCTGTTCATTCAACGGCTGCCTACGGGGCTGTGCAAAGAGCACTTCTGGGCATGGTCACCATCTGGTCAGAGCAAGAGCATTCCAATTGTGCAGGTGACTCCTCCTCTGCCCCAACATAGACTGGTGCAGGCCTTGACAGGATAGACCAGCATACCTTGACAGGCACCTACAGAAGGCCAGCTATGACCCATGAGGTCCCTCCCAGCCCAACACACACAGCTATACATCCCTCACTCGCCTTGTGCCTCCCAGAAGCCAACCAGAACCTACAAATCATATATCTGATTTCTGCCTACAGGGAGGAGGTCCATCTGCTCACCAAGTTGGATGCTCCAGGCCAAATCATCTGTACCCAAAGTTGTATGCACAACCAGCCAATGATGTCCCACAATAGCAGAGGCAGAGAGGGACATTGGGTTCCACGGACCCAGGGTACCCTCTCTCCAAGGGCAGGCCCAAATCCATCTCTCTTCAGACTTCAATCCCTATGCACTAATCAAGGTTCAGTCCTCTCTTATTTATGCACTGCCTGGATGGAACTCTAGTTTGTACAAATTGACAGAAGCCATAGCTTCGAATGAGACTGGGAACTGGGAATGTTGGCCCTGTCATGGAAGACCCGGTCCTGGATGCATCTGCAGTCACTGGGCCGGGTCAACAGAAGTATCACTGTGCACTTAGACAGATGAGACCAAGGCCAGAGGGATTAAGGGTTCACCTAATAAAACTGCAGAACCAACCAGTAAGCTATCTCAAATGTCAGGTTTCAAGAATGGAACATCACCCCCTCTCCTCATTGACTGTCTGGGGCTCTGGTCCTAAAGACCAGCCAGCCCACCTCCAAGGTCACACAGACACATGGACTTTGAAAGGTCATTTGCAAAATTCTTTTTTTTTGTTAAATATTTTCGCACTCAGACTCATAACACACTGTCCCTCACCCTCAGCCAGCAGGGTTAGCGCCTCAATGTGAGCATGCTTGTGTGGCTTATGCATTCAGATACAAAATCAGCTTCAAGGAATCAAATCAAAATACTTCCTGCCTTTTGGGCGTGGCTACCCCCGCACATCACTCTGGGTCTACCGTATGAAACTCTCACCTCAGGCTGATCCCTGGCTCAGAGCACAGCTCCTCTCAGCTGTACCTGTACCTACTGGTCAGTGAGTCTGACCTGCTCGACCAGCACTGACATCAGCAAAGCCCTGCTGTCTACAAGCAGGGACCGGTGCCCCGTTCAACCTCCTCAGCACCAGCTGCCTCCTCCCTCCAAAGTTCCTCTTCAATCCACCAGCTACCATTCAAGTCTAAGGTCACAGAGGAATGGGCCTTGTGAGCTGACGGGAGGTGTCCAGAGGTGACACAGGCTGGCTGTGATATATATATCACATATATATAGTCTTCCTTCATGGGCATCAGTGTCATGAGGTTGTGAGAATTTAAAATTAATGAGAGAGGCTCAGAGGTTAAGTCCACTTGCTGCTCTTCCAGTGACCTGATTTCGGCTCCCAGCACAGCTGAGCAGTTTGCAACCGCAACTGCCTGCAATGTCATCTTTAGGGAACCCAGTACCCTCTTCTGGCCTCTGCAGGGATGGGCCCGAATGTGTACACATACACACGTATACATGCACACACGCACACATGCATATGCACGCGCATACGCACACACACACACAGAAACACAAATAAATGCAATAGTAAAACAAAAACTTTAAAATTAATGACACGTTGTACACAACCCCTCACTTGAAATCTGCATTCCTCTGCCCACCACAGACATAGCGAGCCCAATGCCCTGGCAGGCAGCACCTGGATCAGCAGGACAAAGCAGTCCAACCCTGAGCTTTCCTAGCTTCCACAGGTACAGCCTAGACTGCACATTAGTCCTGGGCAGTTAAAAATAGCACAGGCAGCTGAGCCGAGCTCGGTTAATGGAATACCCAAGTTAATTTTAGCATGAGAGAGCTCCAGAGAATCTAACATCTCCCATGCCAAGGACCACATTTGGCCCACACGGCATCTTCTTAAACAAGGGCCCTGAAGCTACTGTATCGCCGTGACTCACAAAACAACCTCTCCTGTCTGAATCCAGCCTTGGCCAGCCCATGACAACTGTGTTAACCCATAAAGCACAACTGCCCCCTGCAGGTGCACGGCCTGCAGTGTGACCCACAGCAACCCCGCTGTCAACACATGTGGCCATCGGAGATAGCAACTTTGCTCAATGGGCTAACTGAGCCCTGAGCTTCCAGACCTTAATCTAGGGCTTAGTCATCTGCTGCCTCCTCACGGCTGACCAGCCAGGCTCATAGCCCTGCCTGGCCCCATCTTGCACGTCTGCCCATCCCCCTTTCAGTGGCTCCTTCTGCTTCTGGTCAGATGTCGTTTGTGAGCAGAAAGGCAAGGAGGGAGAAACCAGCCCTGGTCCACAGCAGCGCAGTCCTGTTGGACGGGAGGAGCTACCTCTCCACAACCACATTCTAACCTTGGAGAAAGAGCACAGAGCCTCAGCGAGGATGCGGAGTGGCGGATGTGACATCCAGGCAGAAGGACCACAGTCACCAAGAGCCCAGTGGAAAAGCAGGAAGCAGAGCCTGCCTTCCTGGGAACCCAGGGAAGCTCAACCCAGACCACAGCAGAAAGAAAATGAGCAAAACCATAACAGTGCCAGAGAACATTTCTGGTCTGAGAATGCAAAGTCAGAATTTTGAATTTTTATTTATTAACAGACAGATGATAATTACCTCTATGCACTCAACGTTTTTATCCAGAGAGCGCTTTTTAAAACAAGTAATAAACATTAAGCAAAAGGAAAACATGACTGGGAAGTAAAGCTATATTGCAACCCCAAGGAACACTAGGCCCAAAATAGCATTGCTGAGCAGATGAGCTCTGGCCACAGCTATCCGCCCAATCACCAGCCAGCATCGACTCTAGAGAGTTGGGCTATACACACTTCCTCAATGCAGCAGCCTCAAGGAAGCGAGGGTCAGTCACATGCGATGGCTGAAGATGGCTGTAACAAAGCCGGGATTGTTACCACAGACGCTCAAGATCCTAAGGGCACAGAAGAACACTTCCAAACAACCGTGCACATTGTAAGTGGAGAAGCAAGAGTCTTCAAGACAGGACTTGAAAATGCTCTCTCTCCCTCTCTCTCTCTCTCTCCCTCCCTCCCTCCCTCTCTCTCTCTCTCTCTCTCTCTCTCTCTCTCTCTCTCTCTCTCTCTCTCTCTCTCTTCAATAGAGAAACTTTACTTTTATGTGGCCTTTTCTTCTGTGTGAGCAATGTGTAGACGGAATGGAAAGGGGAAGAACGGAGAGATTCATTTCTGATGAAACCAAGAACTATCTTATGCTCTAAAACCGAGAAGCAGAGGCCAAGCCTCGTAACGCTGGTCCCTTCCCTAAGTTCTTACAACAACAGCAGTGGCAATGGTGTTTATTTGTATGGTTTCAGGGGCGATTGTCTCTCTTTCCTTCTCTGGGTGGGGGAGGGTGGTGACTAGAACAAACCGCAGCCTTGAGGACTCCCACCGGATGCAGCCCACATGGACTCTTGCTTTATTCAGATGGGAAATGGCTGTGACGAGAAAGAAGCGCGTCTGGGTCACCCCATAAGTTACCACAGGCTTGCTGGAAGCCAAAGCACTGGAGACAAGGCTCACAGGAGAGAGTCGTGTGTGTGTGTGTGTGTGTGTGTGTGTGTGTGTGTGTGTGTGTGTGTGTGCATCCTTGCTTGTGCACGTTTGAAAGCGAGAGACACAGAGACAGAGAAACAGGGGCAAGACAGGTCAACCCTTCTGCCCTCAAGTCAACTACAGTGTCACAGCCAGTGACACTCCAGATGTTAATCATAGAGTGACCTGACCACAAACCAAGAGTTGCAAAAGGAAACCCAGGAGCCCAGCACATAGGGAGCCCAACATACCACCCACCCTGCTAGGAGTCTTATTTATTCTTCTGATGGGATTCCCCTGGGGACGCCGGTATCAGACAAGCGGGACAGCTAAGCAGCACCAAACCCAAACCAGTTGCCACAGCTGTTTCCTGGGCTCCAAAGGGTTAATGCAACACACCCACATCTGTACACAGGAGGCAGGCTCTACATGCAGAGCTGTGATCCCTGCATACTCCACCCAGAGAACACACAGGCACCTTCCCCCTCTTGACTAGCCCTGTAAGGACCTTTGAGAAAGACCAGGCGCTTGGAGACGGAGCACATTTAGGGAGTAGGCAGTTGGAGCTTGGGCACCTCTATCCAACCTCATGGCCACCATCCTAAACATCTGAGTGTTGCCCAGCCCGCTATGTAGTCAGAGGCAATGAAGTCTCCAATCACACACTTACACAAAGTGCAGTGACAGACGGAGACCTGATGACTTGTCCCCACCACGGCTCCTCCAGCGAAGACCCTACTCTGACAGACAGTTTGGGCTGCTGCCATAGGGGTCGGAGCCTTCTCTTTCCCCTGGTCTTTCTTACTATGCCATTCCGGAAGAGAAATCCTCTTTGTCTGAATAGAACTAAAATCCTTCCGTGTGTGCACAGCAGCTGATGCGGGGGCTGGACTAGGCACCCTGTACTCAAGAGGAAGGTCTTGGACCCTTGTCACCTGCTGACCTGACGGCCTGGATGCTTCCCTTGCAGTATTCCGCAAAGACCACCCCCTTGGCTCTTCTGAAGGAGAGGGCCACAGCACCCCTGGGGCCGGGTGGACTCACTCGGTGAGATGGTCCTGGATGAAGGAAACTGAAGCTGACCACCCTCACACAAGTGTTCTTTTGCCTGGCCCCACGGCGGACAGAAGCAGCCCCTTTCCTCAGGTTGAAACTGACAGCAATTCCGGGCAGAAAAGCAAGAGAAATCCCTCCCATGCCCTCTGGGAGCCCAAGCACCACATGGTATCCGCAGCGCTTCTGAACCAAAGACCAAACTGTCTCGGCAATGATTCAAAATCAAAATAAAGCAGGACAGGAAGCAACACGCTGATCGCGAGTAGCTGGCATTCCTCAGACAGCATCGAATGTCATCAACAACTGACACTGTGACTGTTGCCACCCACTAGGGGCCTTTTCACGTGGGAACAGGCCGGGATGTGGGACGCAGTTCAGAGGGGAAAGACTACAGAACCGAGCACTAGGACCCAGAATTCCTCCCAGAAAATTGGCCCTTGCCCAGTGCGTTAATGGTTTGATGTGTAACGGTCACTTCAGAAAACCACTGTTAGGAAGTGGACTCACACATCACTCACAAGATTTTAAAAAAAGAGGGGGGAGGGGGGAGGGGGAAGCGACTGGGAAAAGCAAATTCTCCGGACTTAAAAAAAAACCAGGAAGTCCTTTCCATCACTCCAGGGCTCCTTCACTCCCCGCCCCCAGCGTGGCTGCCGAAGTCCGGAACAGCCGAGAGCAGCCTGAATGCCAGGCCTGCCGGCCACCGCTCCCACGGCCAGTTCTCAATGAAAGGAGGGGGAGGTGCTGGCAGCTCCAGCACCACGCCTGCAGCGCGCAGACACACAGCGGCGCGCTCACGGCCCCGAAGCCTGCAGCACCGCACAGCCAGCAGAAAGGGTGAAGGGGCGCCCCCCTCCTTGGGAAGGAAGTTCCAGCGCGCAACTGTGGCAGGGACACCCGGAGACTGACATCAGTAGACCCGATCCCTGAAGTGGGAGCACGCAGACGGAACGGCGTGTGCTCGTGCATGGAAACTCGGGCGCCCGAGACCCGGAGAGGGTCCGGGAACGGTCCTGCGCACACGGACACACGCAGGCAGCCACGCGCGCTCACGCACACAAACAGACGCCCCCTGATGCAGGTCCCGCCTCGCCTCCCCCGCAGTGCCACGGAGAACCGGGCTGTCCGTCCGGGCGGGGAAGCACGGGTAGCTGGTCCAGCCCGGCCGGATCCCGGGAGCAGGGGTCTGGGGAGCTGCCCACGCCACCGCGGTCCTCACCGATCTTGATCCTCACGCTCTGGAAGACCCGCAGCCCCTCTTCCTCCACCGCCATGCTGCTTGTCCACCTCGCCAACGCGCGAGGGCCCGGCAGCGCGGACGCAGGAGGAGGACGAGACAGGCGGACAAGGCCCGCAGACGGAGCCGAGCGGCGGATGCCCCCGGAGCCCCGCGCGCTGCGGTCCGCGCTCTGCCCGGGTGCACCGCCTCGCGCCCTTCCATTGGCAGAGCTCGGGGGCGGGGCGGTGGGCGCCTTCCTCTGACAGACCCCCGACCTTCATTGGCTAAGGCTGCGCACGGGGCGGGGCAGCACGACTCCGCCTACTGTGAAACGCTGCATCCCTTTGGTCGGATCTGTAAGGGGGCGGAGTGAGGCTCTGAGGCGGGATCGGAAGGGACTCCGGGTTCAGCGGTCCAGGTTCTCATGATCCCAGCTGGTCTGGTCTCTTTGGACCGGGGACAAAGAGAGGGTCGTGAGTACTGATCTGTGTTTTAACTGCCAGCTTCCGTGAGACTGACTCGCACTTAAAATTTTAAGAGGTATATTCAAACAAAAGGTACGAAAGGAAAAGAGTTCCTCTAGCCCAAGCTTCAGCACGTAAGAGAAGTGACACCTGCCGATCGCGCTGAAGAAATTGGACGGTGATGCACGGCCAAAGTGAGGTCCGCGTGGACCCCGTGCCTAGCAGGCAGACCCTGCTTGTCCCCTGGTGTACGTGGGCAGCCTCTACGTGGGCCTGGCGTTTGGCATCCCAGAACCTCCAAACCTGGTACTTTCTAGCAATTTGATTGGTGTCCAACTTTGGCATTGTTGGCTCTCAGCAGCCATCAGACCTCTCCAAGGTCCTATCCTGTTCCTCCCTCTAAGACAAGAGTTTTCCCGGACAACTCCCGGCTTTCTGGAGGGGCAAGAGCTCCAGGCTCCTCGGCTCCCTTACAGTATCCCAGAAGTGTCTCCCACAGACTTGACCCAGGTGGGTGGGGAGTGGTGGCGGGACAGCCTCTGCACTGGGCTTGAAGGAGGCCAATGAAAGCTGGGTGGATACCTGTGGAAAGAATACACTGCCTTTGGGAAGGTCTGAAAATTGAGACGGTATTGGCGGTGGAGTCAGGGGACTAAATCGCTGACACAGCAACTGAAAGAAAGGTGTGACACGAAAGCCCCTTGGTGCTATGTGGTAGCTCTGTCACCAGCAACCAGAGAGCAGAAATATAAGGCACAGGCCAGGACTGTCAGTAAGCCATCGGAATTCCAGAGTAGCTGAAGACTGGAACCAGCCTAAAGCTGCTGTGTCTCACTCGGCCCCTGTGAAGGGAGCCCCTCTAGGTTGACGTGTTAAAAATCCTGAGTTCCTGGCTGGAGAATTTAACTCAGTGGTGGACAATTTGTCTAGTAAGCACATGGCTGGGCAGGGATGGAGGGGAGGGGAGACAACACAAAAATTACCATAAGACTTTCTCAGTTTGGGTTCTATACTGTGATCAAACACCATGACCAAAAACAACTTGGGAACCACAAAACAAGCAAACAAAAAGCCAGGGGTGGTGATGCATGTCTTTAATCCCAGCACTCAGGAGGAGAGGTGGGCAGATCTCTGAGTTTGAGGCCAGCCTGGTCTACAGAGTGAGTTCCAGGATAGCCAGGACTACACAGAGAAACCCTGTCTCAAAAAAAAAAAAGGAGGGGGGAAAGAAGGAAGGAAGGAAGGAAAGGCTTGTTTTCATCATGGTCCTTTGTATGTAGGAGGTTTTTCTCTGTCCCACTGGTCCCCTTGGACCAGTTTCTCTCCCACTCATGGATCTCCAAAGCCATTTATGAAATAAACACTTAGAGGCTAATATATTAAATATAATTGTTTAGCCAATGGATCAGGCTTATTGCTGGCTCGGTATCTCTTATAAATTAACCCATTTTTTAAAATAAACTGTGTACCACCACAGGTGGCTTGCCAGTAATGCCGCCATCCTACCCCTTTGGTGGCTACATGGCATCTCCTTGACTCCGCCTTCTTTCTCTCCATAACTATGTTTGGTTTCCTGCCAAGCTATATTCTACCTGGCCATTGGTTAAAACAGCTTTATCTAAGAACCAATAAAAGCACCCCATATGCACAGCATACAGAAAGACATCCCACATCAGCCTTTCATAAAAGAAGGTCAAGCAGAAACCTGGATGCAAGAACTGAAGCAGAAGCCACTGAGGAGCCCCTGACCTGCTTCTCAGGGTTGCTCAGCTTCCTTTCTGTCCCAACTCACAACCACCTGACCGGGAGCAGCACATCCCACAGTGGGCTGGACCTTCCCATATCAGTCATCAGTGTCCTACAATCGAGAAATTCCTACAGACATTTTCTCAACTGAGTTTCCTCTTCCCAGATAACTCTAGCTCAATTCACACACACACACACACACACACACACACACACACACACACACACACACAAAGGAGGGAAAAGGCCAAGAAAACCTTAATTTCAGACTCAGATGTTCTCAGAGGTCTTATTTCTCTCAGTAAAAGCAGATGGCCTCTTTTTGCCCGGAAATACTTTAAGCCCTCTGCAAAATATTGCATACCTGTTTGTGCTCCATCCACTGGTCCCTTCCCTTTACCGGATCAGCAGGAGCCAGGCCTAAATGAGGGAGACTGTTGACCCACAGGCCTTCTAAGACATTGAGTACGGACCTCAGGAGTTGAGGCAAAACAGATCTCGACCTGAAGGACATGGAGCAAAGTGACTCATTGCAATTCCATCGGCAATTTCCCCCATGCTCCCGGGACAGCCTTTCGAAGCTGTTAAAAAGCAAGACCACACATTTGATGAAGTAAGGCTGCCGAGCTTTCAGACAAGAGTGCTACATCCTCAGAGAAGTGGCTCATTAGTGAAGGTATACTCTGTGAGGCTGAACTGGTGATGCTCTGTTACCAAGTGACAAGGGCACGCTGGTGGAGGTGTATCGGGGGGTTGCTCGTGGGCAATGGTCCGTAAAAAAGGACTAGAAAAGACAGGAGTGGGCACCAGGCAGTGAGGACAGTGGTAGCAATGGAACCAAGAGCTGGTAGAGGGAAGCTGGCAATCAGCAACCAAGAGTATGTAGTGCCACCGTGGCCATCAAGGATGTAACTACTTAAGCAAGACACTACCAGGAGCTCTGACTTAATTTATAGAAACCAAATATGGATATCAAGAAGCTAAAGAAAGGTTTCCTCCCCAAAATCCCTTGCCCTATATTTCCAGAGTGAGCAACTTTCACACCTACAGCCTGCTAACTAAGGTGAGTCTGAATTCTGAGGATGACACCTGGTGTGGTGTGTGTGTGTGTGTGTGTGTGTGTGTGTACAGATGCATACATGCTAAAATGTTCCAGGACATCCCAAGAGCCTGCAGCCACCTAGCAGGGGCTTTCACTTAGATATTTCCAGGATAGCTGGGGTTTTTGGTCCCAGGATCAGTATGCTTCTATGAAACGTGGACTTATAAAGCTGAAAAACCAACCTAACCCCTGCAGAGGACTCAGTAGACCAGCTGCACACTTAGCTTCATGAAGGCACCATTCCCCTTTGTGCTGAATGTGAAGTTTGTACAGGTGAATTTAGTAGGAGTCAGAACACCCATTCATGCCCTTGGCATTTAGGCTAAGAGTTATACCTGTTGGGAAGGCCAATCAAGGCATCATAATGAAAGGTAAAAAGGCAATAATCCCCAAACAGAGACCAATGCTGCCTCTGGAGGTGTAAGGGGCAGTGTGATTCAGTAGACGTGTTCCTGAGTAGCCAGATAGATTTTGAGGGGGAACCATAGGGCAACACAGACTCAAGCCACCAGCCATCTTGCTACAGCTCTGGTGCTAGGACAGATCTCCTGCCCAGGCTTCTAGGAGCTGCCTGCCAGTGTTCTTACTTCTCCTGCCATGGAAGGAATTGAATAGTTAACCTGAAGCCTCTTTGCATCGCTTGTCCAGATGCTTCCCAGTCCTATTCTGTACCACCTCAGCCTAATTCACGAGTTGTCACTGGTTAGCAAAAGATTT